TAAAATTGAGCTCATTCAAATTAGAGGACATGTTCCTAATTTTGTTAACAGAGTAGTATTTTTTAAGCAGTTCTCTTGAACTTGATCTGGACAACCCAAGTGGTTGCGTATCAAGGACGTGTCTCCTTGGCAACAAGAGAACCACACCTTCAATGTAGAGGGGGTTGCGGGAGATGCTTCTCATCCAGCTTGTGTAAGGACTGAGCCCCTAAGCACAATTTATGGAGAAAGGGAACCCAAAATGAAGTCCTGTTTTGTCCCACTTCTCGAGGCATGAGATGAACATCTGTCTAAAATGGGCTTGTACAGCTTAGCCTACAGCCAACTTGCTGCCACAGGGAGAAGAGACAGGAAAGACAAGAAGGAGAAATGTGAAGTGGTGGTGGGGACATAGTAGGAGACCACACGGGAATAGCCAGGCCTGGCATCCTCATGAGCATGTTGAGCTGACTCACAGCTTTAAGTGGAACATCTGGTGAGCCAGTGTGGCTCTCATCTGGGAGAAGGAAGAGGTGCCTGTGTGTACAACTGGGTAGATTGCATTCTGCATTCCACCACACAGGACGGTAGCAGTGAAGTTAGCAAAGGCGAACAAAGTGGCAGTGATCAAAACATACAAATTAGGAGCAAAACTTGAATACTTCTGGAGGGAAAAAAAACAAGCAAAATAAACTCAGTAGGTGCTTTATTTCACGTTTACATTTTCTAAAATTAGTTTTAAATTTTTTTTTAATTTTTAATTTTTTTGAGAGACCGAGCATGAGCATGAATGGGGGAGGGGCAGAGAGAGAGGGAGACACAGAATCTGAAGTAGGCACCAGGCTCTGAGCTGTCAGCACAGAGCCGGATGCGGGACTCGAACTCATGAACCCGTGAGATCATGACCTGAGCTGAAGTCGGATGCTTAACCAACTAAGCCACCCAGGCACCCCTAAAATTAGTTTTAAAAGAGAGCATTACAGAGACCTAAACAGTTGAACTTGACTCACAAGACCAGAGTAAGGTTCCCAGGTATCAAATAGGACCTGGGTAAATATGATCTTCCTACTGTTTTCATACCATGCCAGCTCTACCTCCACACCTTCATCATTACCATTTCCAATAGCCAGACTCAGGGGTGCACACAACACTTAAATTTGTTCTGACACAGTAAGAAGTTGCCAGTAAGACTTCAGTTTAATAAGTTTCTACCTGGTCTTTTCTTTCTTTATCACACAATAGCCTTTGTCAAATCCAACCCTATCTCATGTCTACCTAAACAAACATGACTAAAACTGTTAAGAGAAGGAGGGGGCATTTCTCCCAATTCACAGCAGAGACGGTTTCCAGAAATTCTCAGATAGCAAAGAAACACTAATAGAATTCATAAGTCCATGTTCCATCTCATTTTTCTTATCCCCTTTACCTCATGCAGAATTTACGTCACCACAGAAGGATCTCTAGGGCAGTTCTCCCAAGGAAGCAATGGTCACCTTCTGCCCATTCAAAATATCCAAGCTAAAGATGGTAGTAGGGTGGAGAAGTGCTACCGGCCTCTGGAGGAGAAGCATGAAAAATGTCCCCAGGTTTTCCCCCAGTGCTGCCGTTCAGTTTTACCACGTTATCCCAGAAATATGTCTATTGGGTATTCTCCTTTGAAGCATTTTATTAAGGAGCTCTTCAACCTTACCATCTTCTGTGTGTCCCTCCTAATGGGGAAAGACCTGATGCGCCCACTCACAATGAAGAGGAATCACCCAGAACCTTCTAAGAAGGGAAGTGGGCCAAATCAAGCCTACTCTTGGCTATGCTTAGCGCTGGTTCTGACTTGCATTCTAGTTAGAAATAAACACTTTCTAGTCACATTAGTTGGAAGCAAAGAATTGTTGAATTAATCTGTTAATTATAATTAAAAGTACTACAAATGACACTGGGCTATGTGAGATCCCATAGAGGAGAGCTTGAGGGATAGCAAGCATTTAGGCTGCAAGTGAGAAGCAACAGGGTACATGGGAGGAGCAAGAAGGTGACCAAGACGCTGATGCTCAGAAGGTGAAGGGGAGAGTGAAGAGGGATGAAGTGGAGGGGTGGGGGCCACATCACAACAGCCTGGTGGAGGTGGGGCCATTTGAGTTTTATCCGGTGGGCCCTGGGCCACTGTGCAGCAAGGCTGTGGTGGTACCACAGGCTCAAGAGTGACGCAGCGTGTTGCCCAGCTGCTCTTCTAGGCATGGGCTCTGGTCGTCCGCAGGGGGAGGTGGAGAGGGCCTATGTGCAGAGCACTCCTTTGGGTGACCTATGTGCCGGTCTTGGCACGGGGCTTTGGCTCACTCACAGACAGTCCTTCCAGCTTCATGGCTTGGAATAATCATGTCATGACTTCAACCTCGCCTGTCTGGGTCAGGCTTTGAAACGCTCTCCTGCTTTCCTGTGGCAAGCTGCTCCCTGTCCCAGGGGAGGAGGCTGGGTGGTGGTGGAGCTTGAAGCGCTGGGAAGACGTCTTCCTCATTCCTGCTTAATATAGCCAGACACCCAAGCAGTAAGACCAGATTGCAGGTGCCTAATCCTGTTTACCTGAACATGGTGGCATTTTTCCAGAAGCTCGGGTGCCCATTTACAGTGCTTTAGCATGGAATCTGATTACAGATAATACTTAATAAATTTTATATTTTGGCATTGTGTTGTGGGCCCGCCTTTGCACAGTGTGAGATGTAGAATTCAAGAAATACTTAGTAAATGACATTGAATGGCAACCACAGTTGGGTTGGTCCGAGTGATAGGCCACTTGGTGCTGCACATCCTGACTGTTGTCATGTGCCTACATGTATACGGTGAAACATACTGCTGCTCACCACCCCGAAGTCCCTGGTTGCTCTCAAGCCCCCTGACCACTGTCTGAACATCAGCCTCCTGTCTCACTCATTTCATGAAGCTCTGGCCTCGGAGCTGCTCCATCTGGAAACCACCGTACATAGTCATTTAGTATATGCAGGGAGTCAAATGAAACCTTGCTTAATAAAGGGGCAATAAAGGCAAGAGACAGAGAAATGAGAAAGGAAAGAAAGGAAAAGGGGATTAATAATGCACGCACCATTTATTAAACACCCACTCTGTACCAGATGTTTTACAAACATTATTGCTCATCATGACACTACAAGGTTACATTACTCCCATTTAACAGATTAGGTCAGTAGGGCTCAGGAAGGTTCAAGGACTTGTCACATCTTCACAGTCAGAAAAGGGCAGGTCTGGGGTTCACACTGGACAACTACACAGCATTCCATGCAGTGAGGGAGGGGGCTGGTAGCACTGGGAAGACAGAAGCCCGGCTGTTCTGCACAGAGCCTCTGTATACCCAGCATACTTGCCATGCACACTGCCCACAGCACTCTTGTCAACATCCGCCCGTGTTTCCCAAATATCCTGCCCTCCCTCTGCCTTCCCTCCTAACCCTGCCCTAAGAGAAGAGATGCATTCCAGATTGCTGTCCCCAGCTCCTCACTCCTCCCTCCAATTTCCGGGCATTTCCTGTTTTAAAATCATCACTGTCTCTGGGACAAGGGGAAGTCAGTAATGGCCCTCCCCCAGAGATTTCCTTTAGGAATTCAGAGCCAGTGTCGAGTGGGTGAGCAAAATCACGGCTTCACGCTTTCCAAAGACTTTCATCAGGCTTCCCACAGTGGCCAGGAAGTGGGGGCAGATGCCATGGTAGCTTGAAACCCCCAGAGCCCTTAATCTCTGCCTCTTAATTAATTGAACACCATCCTTTTAGATGGCAGGAGTCTTCATTCCCTGGCTGGTGTTTCTACCACCTCAAGTCAGTAGCCTGTCTCAACATGCAGAGATGACATGACAGATAATGGTAGTGTGGGTGAGAGCAGTGGGGATCAGAGCCCAAATGAGGTCCCCAAATAATCATCAAATCAAAGGAGACATGTGCTCGGGACAGAAAGGTGAGGAAGGCCTTGATGCCTAGTAAGCAGCCAAGTCAGCAACCAGGATCCGTGCACAAAGTGGTCCAGGCAGCCCTAACACTAGAACATCAAGAGATATACAATAAGTCTGTATTTACCAGAATTGTCTAAGGAGAAAACTGTATATGGGGGACTCAAAATTCTAATAAGCGTGGGGTGAGAGGAGGGAGCCCCAGGGGACATGGCCAAGCTGCTTTGTTAAAGACTCTAAATATAATTAACTGCAGGGGGTTTCCTTTTATGCACAGGCTGGGCAAACTGGTGACAAGCAGGAGGAGAAGATGCTCACTGTGACCCAACCATCCTCCTCCCATGTGTTGGTCATCCTCACATTGGTTAGAAAGGGTTCCAGAGTGCTCTCCCTGCCCAGACTGTCCACATATCTCTCTTCAGCCCTGATGTTGGGGAAGTTGCAGAATACAGTCTTATAACATTGTAATGTAAATCTTTGTACCCCTTAAATGTCAAGGCCCCCAGAAGAAATCCTTGGCTATCCCTCCTTTGCTGCCCTCTTTTGGGAGTAGGTCTGGCCATCATATTCTCCCTCCTGGGATAGGTACCATTTGGGGCCCATGACAGTTAACATGAGACTGCCAGTAGCTTGAGTGTGGTCCATTCCTGACTCATCGCTGCAGCACTATCTTGAATTCTGTTGGGTGTAGCTCTTTGTTAAATGCGTAGTGGTTTGGATGGGTAGATAGATGACTTGATGCAGGAATGACTGGATGAATAAATGAGTGAATAAACTTGCAAGATAGCAAAGATGGGATAAGAGATGAAACTTACTTGTGGAACATTTTTTCTCTATATAAAACAGACACAATTGAAAATGGAACCCTCAGTCTGGATCATACTCTAACTAACTGAGCTATTCTGGCCAGAAAGACACATCATGGCACTGATTAAGCCTTTCTTGCTTGGGCCCAGTGTGGTGGTAATTATGGCCATACTACCAAGGCATTTCTTGAGGACAGGCCTCTTGGAGAGCAGGTGGCCAAACATTTCCACTGACTTGTTCTCTCTCTCTCTTTTTTTTTCCCTTTGCAGATTATCAAGGAGGTCCCTCCACCCCCTGCTGAGGAGAGTGAGGTAAGTGACCAGAGCAGGGTGCAGCTGGATGGACAGGGTGGTGGAGTCGAGCAGAGAACTGGCCGAGCTGACCCAGGATTCAGGCCCCTGTAGCACGGTGTTAAGTCAGGCCCAGGCCCCCAGGGCATCTGAGGTGGCAGGGAGGGAAGTTTTTGGTCCTTTCTGAACCAAGGTTGAACAAACTGAACTGACCAAGAAACTGAACTGAACTGCAGCCACATACAAAATAGTTTGGGAGGGTTTTCTACCTGCAAAGAGAAAATCTGAGGTGCAAATATAAATATTTTTATCAATACAACTTTTCCCTTTAAAACAGACCTTTTAGGTTTCTCTTTTCCCTGCAGAGACTATGCTTCATGTATGGAGATCGGGGCAAATTTGATACATTCTCCAAACAATTAGCGATTCTAGGAATAGCCTGATGCTGAAGTATTCCGTTTTTTCTTTAATGTAACACAATGCCTAAAGATTGGCCAGGCAGTAATAAAAGTATATGGGGGGCGGGGGGGGGGGTGGCGCACAGGGGAGTTGGAAGCGGATATGTTAATATCCTGGCTGGCTCTCAAATCCTCATCATTTGAAAGGAGGAAAAACATCTTAGACTCCACCATAAATTGGCCAGTAAGCAGTTCTGGTGCAAGCGTGGCCTGGGGTAGAATATGGTGGAGGCATCAAAGGCTAATGGTGAGAAGGAGAATCCCTGGGCAGGAATGCCTGGCCAGTGGCTTTCCTGATCCTCTGATCACTCTCAGAGCAACAGGCCTCCTTGGATACATCACTCACCAATTTAGAAACCAGGGCACAGGTCTGAAAACTGAGTGGGATCAAAAGATATAGAGGTGAAGATTCAAGGTTATGGTCTTCAATCCCTAAGGTCTATTGTATGCAAACTGAGTACTGCCCCCTCACCATTCCTCTAACCAATGCCTTAGTCAAGTTTCCTGCATACAGACAGAACAATGATTGAAGTTAACCTTCCATGAGTCTGTTATATCCTGAACCATATGCATGTAAGCCAAGAGCTTTAATAGCTGCAATCAATTAAAGCACATATTGTTGGAATGCTCACTTTCTGCCCAGAAATCAAGGGAGGAAATTACATTGCTGTGCAGAGAGGGAGGATAAAACCCTCTTTACATCCACAAAAGCCTCTTCTTAATCCTTCAAGAGAAAGCACCGTGGCTAGTTCCATGGGTTCCAATTTGGCTGTGTTTCTGTTATGTGCAGCTGTCTCTTATATTCCCAAAGGAAAATAGGGCAAGAAGCTTTAGCTTGATGAAGTTGCTCTGTTTGCCCTGAGGTGAAGAATGTTCCCTCCCCTTATTATGTTCAGTTAAAGGAGTTGTTGCCCTTTTTTCTGGTGCTGACTCTGCATTTGCTTTTGCATCTGCTTTGGAAGCAGCCACTGTGGTCAGAATGCACCCGGGGACTTAGGTACACAACCGTGGGGTGTGGTTTACCCAAAACCACCTAGTTTCATCTAATATTTCTATAGAAGTCATAGTTTTACCTGAAGAAGGCAGACCTGGTTTCTGAAACAGAAGGACAACCCCAGGATACTTGAGATCTGAAGGGTTGTGTTAGGTATCAAGGAACTTCCAGGCCGGCTGAGGCAGGCTACAGGCTGTGCAGATCATTTAGCATGCGTGTTGGCCCAGACAGTTCCTTGGCCTTGTGAATTAAGCAGCCCTAATCTCCTTCCTACTTATGTTTCAGCAGAAAAAAAAATAAAGAATGAAAGAAATCCCACAGGAACAGATAACATAATTTAGCCCTACAAAGTATCTGACACAGTGCCCTGAAAATCATAGTCTGAATCTAGACTTCTAGAACCCTCTCCATCCAGCTCCCTGCATTCAAATCCTACCAGTCCTTCAGGTACAGCTCATGTGCTATTATCTCCACAAAACACACTATGATTCCTCCCATCAGGACTCATTTCTCATTTCTCCCTTCTCCGCATGCCCAGAGAATTTTATTGGCCTTTTCTTCTGCATCAAAGTTTAAGTTCATTAGCTACTTGAAGGTCAGGATCTATATCTCATTAATCTTGGATTTATCCCCAAAGAGCTTAACACAGTGTCTAACACTCAATTAATAGCTCTCTGAGGTCAAACACTCTGCCATATATGTTAACAAGTTCAGTATTAATTATCTAAGCTTTCGTCAGTTCTGTAAGCCTCATATCCTAAGGGAGACACATCTTCTAGTTAAATAGCTAAACTTGGAATGAACACAACTTTATAACAAGCTCTCAGTGGTCCTCTTTAATAGGGAACATCAAAATGCATAATATTTAAAAAGGCGTGACTTTTCAAGATTCCATGCAACCAACAGTGAGACATTTGTATAAAGAGAGGACAAAGAAAAATTTGGAGACCTCAACAAAAGCAAGAAGGCTCAATTTTAACACCTAAGATGGGTATTTCCTGGGTTGAGAATCTTCTCTATTTGGCAGCGGAGTGAGGATTCCTCACAAAGCCTCTAGCTGCTCCCAAATACTGGCAGTTTAAGGGGGAATCCAGTAATGGAGTATTTCATCTCATTATTCTGTTCTCAAATCACCTTCCATGGTTTTTCTGTTTGGGAGCGAGAGGGATGCATATCGAAGGCATTGACAGTGGGTGGGCATACAATTAACAATAAGCACCTGGCCTTGAATAATGAACTTATTTCTAGGTTCATTATCATGCTCACTCATCCTAACAATTTCTCTGTGGCAAGAACTTTTTAGATGGGAAAACCGAGATATGGAAAAATTATACAACTTGTCTAGGATCAGACAAGTTGAACTCCTTCACAGCTAGGTCTACACAGACAGCCAGAGTAGACTCCCACTCTGAAAGGGGGAAGGGCCAAGCTACGGCTAGGCATCTTCTTTCCCGTGGTCATCAAGTACACACTCACATGCACGCACACACACACACACACACACACACACACACACACATATGCCCCAAGCAGAAGTCCTAGAACAAGCCCAGAATTCAATATTCTGTATTTCAATAGTTTGAAAAAGGCACATCACTACTAAAAATGTAAATACACTATCCTTCATTGAAGAACACAGGACAATCATGGTGCTGTCCTTAGTCATTGTGTGTATGTGAAGAGATAGGATATGGGGTCATGACATGTTAAACGCAACTCAGAAGGGAAAATCCCAAGTCAGTTGGGATTTTTTGTATTTACATAGAGAAGTGTTGTTGGATTTTTCTGACTTGCCAAATTCACTCCTAGGAATTCATCTCCAAGACTGCCATTGAGGGTGACTTCTCTGGCTTATCCCCAAAGGCTTCAGATGAGACAGGACAGCTAGTTCTACTTCAGGGTCTACCCTCCAGAGCCTCATGGGCCTGGGAGTTTCAGTGGCCTTGGTCCTTTACTCATGTCATCACCCTCACCAAACATATCCCTCTATGAATGTGGACAATCTTGTTGACAGCTGTATTCCTTCCATTGTCTTTATTTTTCTCAAAATATAACACTGTGCTGGCAAGCAGTGGGGGCTCCACTACAGTTGCTTGAGTGAGTAAATGAAGGAATAGACAAGGGGCCCTTATCGGTGGCTATATAGGGCTTATCATAAGGGTTTAAGATGTGTTACAAGTCAATGACATGTGAAATGAAACCGTTTCCTTGGGCTCGATGCTGTTTCAGATCCGTTCCCCTTTCCATAGATCATTCCCACTGGTATGTGCAGTGCAGTGAATCGAGGGTTGAGAGTTTGTTTGGCCCAGGATAGAGCAGTGAATTCCATGGGGAAATCAAGGAGCTCTTCACAGAATAGGTTACATGCCAGCGATATTCTAAAAGATGAGAAGAAGTAGAGGCAGGATGTTCCAAGCATATGGAGCCACGAATTGTTGAAGCATGTGCTTGTATCGAAGCCTGGCATGACTAGAAAGATGGCAAAATTCAGTGTCCGAGGGCAGCACAGGACAAATCCAATTACGGGCTAACCAAACGTGTGTGTCAGACTCAGTGGTCTAGAGCTGTTTCTTCTTGGATCAGGGCTTCCTGAGGACGAGCAGGTCAGAAGGGGCCTCTACCATCTGAGTAATGGTGCTGCCACGTTTACCCAAACATCAGTCTACAACAGGCCCCAACTACATGTCTGGGGCCACCGCATCCTTTAACATTTATACATAACTTCCCCTGGTGGGAAACTGGCATCCCTCCCTGATCTCTGCGGTTTCTCCAGGCACCATTGACTCCTGCTTCTTGCTTAGGCCATATCTCATCTTCATTTGCTAAACAAACCTGGTTCCTACGTTCCCCCCACGGCATCACTGGCACAAGACCATCCGTAGAGGGGCCTTAAAAGGTTTAAAAGTAACAAGGGTGAGTTGCAACACAGTTCATCTTCCGTGTCATTCCTGCTCCCGGGAGGATCTTGAGGCCCTCTTCGCAGGTGGACTCTGTGCAGTTTGCTGGCAGCTCAGCTCCACTCTTTTGTGCCCATCTTCTGCTGGCAGCCCACAAACCCTCCATGCCTACTACTTGCACAAAGCAAGATGGCTGATCCCCTCAGTCCTCCAGTAATCACAGGATTTGTGTGCCGAAAGTTCTTCCTCGCCCTGCTAACATCCTTGAAGGCGGTGTTTGAGGGGTTCCCCAAGAGAGACTTGATACTTCATTCGAGGTAGAGATTCACTACAGGTGCTGCCAACTTTCTTAGTGACATTGCTGGGGACTGTGATTCTACTCCCCGGTTTGGGGGCAGATGAAAAGACACATCAAAGATTCCCTTCTCTTCTGACGATTGCAAAACCTTCCCGTCTCTACAATGTGTAAACAGAGCCGTGGTAACTGCGGGGGAAATTCTGACTCTCCCGTTGATCAAACCCTGCTCCTTTGTGTTGTCTTTGCTGTTGTTGTTTGAGTTTGGCAGGCAAGCCCGGGTCAGGGGATTACACGGCAGGCGTGGTGGAGCAGATTGAAGTCTCGGCATTTCCTGTTGTGGGAAGGCCAGCCCCTGCTGCACATGCTTAGGAGAGGGCAGAGCAGAGCCTGCAGCAAGTCCGTGGCGGGAGGGAGGGCGTGAAGGGCAGCTCTGTGTGCAACTAGGGAGGGGATCCAGGCATCAGGGAACAGGACCAGAACTTCAATTCCACTGGTCCCTTAATGTTCCTGGATCTGACTGTCCTCTCCTGTGCAATGAAAAGGCCCCAGTAAATGGTCTCTGATATTTGTACTCCCGTTCTTGAAAAAATTAGGAGACTCATGAAACCATTTCAGTTCCCTGCTGAATAAGTCAGCTTTATTCCTGGAGTTTCGTATGCCCTTGGTGCTGCTATGTTCAGTTTTGGGTGATATAATTTCATTTGTCTCCTTTGGGAAAGAAACTGCACTAGACCAGCAGTGAAGCCACATTTCATATATGAGACACGGACACAAACATACGCCCACCTCCAAGGGTACTTGAACCGTGTGTGTAAGATATGTAAGGCTCTGGATTTAACATCCTATGCCTTCTGAGATTCTGTCGTAATGTAAAATACTGTGAACGTACTATTTGGGGCTCTTTGGTGTTATTTTATTATTTTATCATGCGCTACAGTCATAAATCTTCAAAATTAGCAGATACTAGGGGGAAGAAGTAGAAAAGTAGCATTTATTTGATACCACCAAATGGTTGGAAAAGCAAAACCCAAAGGACAAAACCCAGAACTTTGCCAACACTGAGAAACAAACGGGAGTGAGGCTACCTGGGCTCAAAGGCAGCTCTGTCACCTACAAACTGGATGACCTGAGACACTTAACCTCCCTATTCCTCTAAAGTGGACATAATAGCACCACCTACCATGCCGCCCACTGTGAGATTAAAAGGTTAATGCATGTCAAGCACTTGGAAGCGTGACTGGCACATACGTGGTAAAGACTTCATAAATTCAGCTAGTTATTGTGAATTCGGTATCTGGTTATTGCACCTCCTGTGCACCAGCTCCTAGACCTAGAATACGAGGGTCAACAGAATCCACTCTGCGTTCAAGACCCACTGTCCCACGGTGAAGAAGGACAGATCTGTTTTAAAGAGACAGAGAGACCAACCCAAGTATCAGCTGCCAAGATGTTGCAAATCCTCTGGTCTGCTGTGATCATGTCCTTCAAGATATATAAATTTTTTAAATAGAAACCTTCCCGTCCCAAGCACAGCAAGTCACCTAGACAGTCTCCATGTGTTACTGTTGTGCTTTGTCACCTCTGGGTCTGTACTGCTGACCACTTGTCCTTGCTTGGTTCCTTGCCTCCTGTGTGGGATCCCCTTTCCAGCCTCTGATAGAATCGGCCCTACCTAGGACTCTAGTCCAAGTCCTTGACTCTCCAACCTTGACCAACAGAGGCTGTGGGAAGCAGGCATGTGCTGAGCAATTTCAGCCTCTTGGGGTTATTCTTCTGCTTTGCAGACTTCTTTTTGCAGCTTCCTTTTTTTACCCAGGTGGGAAATCATGCTACGACCCACCCCCCGCCCCGACCCCGTCACCCATCCATGACTGTAGATGGTAGAGATTTTTCTCCCCTCAACACGAATAATTACAGTGCCAATATAAGGAGCAGTTTGGGCAACTATCCTCTTTTCCATCCATCAAGTTACAAGTTCCTCTTGTTTCCTCCCTTCATCTTAAAAAATGCAGTAAGCGCTAACTTCCTGTCACTGAACTAAGTGGCAGACACTGAGTTAACCGCTTTATTTGAATCATTTCATTTAATTTGTTTGTAAATTCGACAGATAGCTCTTGGGCACCTCTTACATACTAGGTGCCGTATGAAAAGCTGAAAATGCAATGGTAAACATGACGAGTAAACAGAGACTTCCATGGAACTTACCCTCCATCCTGGAGAAACCAATAGCAAATAAATATCAAGCCACAGAAGGATCCATAACTGAAACTGAAATAGACCAGTGGTATGAGGAGACTGAGGCTGCTTTAGAGGGATGTCCAGGGGAGGCCTCTCGGAGTGGTAGGAAGGATGCAGCCATGAGAAGAGCAGGGGATGGGGAAGTGGGGCGTTCCTGGGTCTGGGGACTGCTTGTGCACAGGCCTCGAGGCAGGAATGTGCTGTCTTTGAGGGACAGAGAGAGGACAAGCTGGCCAGAGTACAGGGAGATGGAGTGTGGTAAGAAGGCTGGAGAGCCAAGGCCCGAGCTCACAGGGCAGAGCTGGGTTTGGCTTTTCCTCTGCTGCTTTGTGGAGAACGGGTTGTAGGCAGAGGAGGCGCACAGCAAGGAAGCCAGTCAGGTGGCTACTGCAGTATCCTGTAGAAAGCGTAGGGGGCTCGGGACCAGGGTGGTGGGGTGGGGTGGAGGTGGAGAAGTCACAGATGTGGGGGCTTCTACAAGTAAGGTCAACAGAATTTGCTGGCAAATTGAGATGAGGTGGAGGAGAGAGAGGATTCAAGGGGGACTCCAGGCAGTGGGGAAGACTGCAGGAGGAACAGGTTGAAGATGAGGAAATGACTGGGAGACTCTACTTTGACATGGTACTATTGAGATGGTTATTAGTCCCCTGAGAAGAGATGGCGATGTCAAGTCAACAGTTGAGTTCAGAGGAGACGGGGATAAAGACAGAAACACAAGTCATCAGCATGTAGATGGGATTAGGTGAAACACCCTATAAAAGAGTAGACATGCAGAAGGAAACGGGTCCCAGGATTTTGCTACAACCTAACAAGGTAGTAGTGCTCCCCCCCCACCCCCTTTACTGATAAGGAAGATAAACTCAGATAGCTTAAGTGGCTTGCCCCAAGGTAGGCCCAGGAAACTCTGGGGTTTAACCCAGGCAGTCGATTCCCATCCACTTTGCTGAAGTGTGGTGTTTTGCTTCCTTCACATATGACAATCTCTTTGCAGGAAGAAGATGATGATGGTCTGCCCAAGAAGAAGTGGCCTACCGTAGATGCCTCTTACTATGGTGGGCGAGGCGTTGGAGGCATTAAAAGGATGGAGGTAAGAACACAGCTTCATGTACTCACATCTATGTGGCAACTACTCCGTGATGGGAAAGAGATAAAACCAGTGAAAGCTCATACTTGAGGTCTGGTGGGTTTTGGATTATAAGGCATCAGATGGAGAGATGGCAGCTACACCCCTTAAACTGTGCACCCCCATATCTTGCCCACCATTTACAGTAATTTGCTTATCTGCTCAAACACTTTAGTGGTTTCCTCTCCCACTGGAATATAGTCCAAGGTTCTTTCCTGGGCCTGCAGGACTTTTGCACATGCTGTCCCCACATTCTGGACAGTTCTCCCCCTAAACATCCATCTGTGTGACTTGCTCTCCTTGCCTCTTCAAACCTTCCTCTTTCCTTTCCCACACCCCTCTCTTCCCTGGCCCTAAAAACCCAAAGGAACTGAGGAGTGGGTAGCACTCACATTGCACATCACACACGTATATACGATGCCCATCTCCAGGGGCATTATACTTTATTTTGTCATTTTGTTTTATTATATGTTATTTATTTTAGGTTCGTTGGGGAGAAAAGGGTTCCACAGAAGAAGGTGCTAAGTTGGAAAAGGCAAAGAATGCGAGAGTCAAGATGCCAGAGCAGGAGTATGAATTCCCGGAACCTCGAAATCTCAACAACAACATGCGTCGGCCCTCTTCCCCCCGGAAGTGGTACTCGCCAATCAAGGTGTGTCTCTTTCTACTCAGAAACCCATCATCTCTCCTGTTAAAACACTCACCTAGTAACAGTCAGACTCTTTTGACATGATAAAATATCAAGCCAAATCCCAGATTATCACAAAGGAACAAATTTCTTAAATCATGGACTTAAAAGTACAGGTACTTATTTTCTCTATTTCCACCTTATCAAAGTTGAAACTAGGCTTTTTAAAATCACCATGGCTGGGGCACCTGGGCAGCTCCATTGGTTAAGTGTCTGACCTTTGGATTGGGCTCAGGTCATGATCTTACAGTTGGTGAGATCAAGCCTGGTATGGGGCTTTGTGCTGACAACATGGAGCCTGCTTGGGATTCTCTCTCTCTCTCTCTCTCTCTCTCTGCTGCTCCCCCACTCACACTCGCTCTCTCTCAAAATAAACATTTTTTATTTTATTTTATTTTTAAAAAATTTTTTAATGTTTATTCATTTCCACAAGAGAGACAGAACACGAGTGGGGGAGGGGCAGAGACAGAGAGAGGGAGACACAGAATCTGAAGCAGGCTCCAGGTTCTGAGCTATCAACACAGAGCCCAATGTGGGGCTTGAACTCACCAACTGCAAGGTCATGACCTGAGCCAAAGTCGGACGGTTAACCGACCAGTCCACGCAGGCGCCCCAATAAACATTTTTAAAAATCACCATGGCAGGGGTGCCTGGGTGGCTCTTCAGATTCTGAAGAGTCTGGGAGCCTGCTTCAGATTCTGTCTCTCTCTCTCTCTCTGCCTCTTCCCTGTTTGTGCTCTGTCTCTCTCTCTCTCTCTCTCAAAAATAAATAAACATTAAAAAAATTTTTTTTCTTAAGTCATCATGGCAAACTAGTAGAATGCAAGCAGACGATGAGTCAAGACTGGGGTAGTAACCCCAGAAGATCACATAAATTCCTGTAACATTTCTCGACTTCATTGGGAGACAGTTCCACTATCTAACAAAAATGGCAGCACTCCCCTTGATGCCCTGTCTCTCTTCCTCTTGCCATAACTCAAGCCCGTTCCCCTTTTCCAGGCTTCCCGCCAGTGTGTCATGTGTTGGCCATGGATCTAGGACTCAGCTTTCCTGACTGAGAGCAAAACCACACCCCCTTTTGTTTTCCCTACTCTCTCTTCCCCTCTATAGCTTCAGAGCTTAAACCTCTTTGGCTTATTAGGAATTCCAGCCATAGAAGGTCTGTCTCTCGACTGCAAACAGAAACTGGGCCAATTTCAAGGCCTCAAGCCGAAAGACCTAGTTTAAGAGCCAGCTTGCATCACACACATGCCCCCACACGGTCTTACCCTTCTTCCACTAAGAGCAAAAATAATATTCATCATTCACTAAGTTATTTCTAATTTTAAAGCAGCAGTTCTCCAATGAAATTAAAAAAATAACCATTTTTTTATTGTTTATTTATTTTTGAGAGAGAGAGAGACAGAGTATGAGCAAGGGAGAGGCAGAGACACAGAAGCTAAAGCAGGCTCCAGGCTCTGAGCTGTCAGCACAGAGCACGACATGGGGCTTGAACTCACGAACCGCAAGATCATGACCTGAGCCAAAGTCAGATGCTTAACTGCCTGAGCCACCCAGGTGCCCCCTAAAGAAATAACTATTTTAAACAACGGAGTGACATTTCATTGATAGTTGTGTCTTCTCAGCCAAGCTAGCTTGTGCTCACACTGTCTGCAGTGTATTTTCATTTTGGTTTGCTGTGTTTAAAGCAAAGAGATTCTTTTTTAAGATAAGTGCTCCCACCCCGTCTCTCCTCACCCCACCCCAGCCAATGGCTTGAACTCTGGAAAGATGTGGGGAAGATGTAGCTTGCTTGACTAACAGCTGGCTGCTTCTAATTATTTTCTAATGCAGAACATGCAGTGGCATGCATGCATGTGCAGACAGGAAGGAGCCAAATAGAACCTCAGAGATGAAGAAGAAAGGGAATTTTCTATTATGTCGTTTTTTTAGGCATCTGTACCTTGTGACTAACATGACATAGTTGGTTACCACCAGGTTTTCTTTTTTAATTTTTTTAATTTTTTTAATTTATTTCTGAGAGAGAAAGAGAGACAGCATGAGCATGGGGAGGATTCAGAGAGAGAGGAAGATACAGAATCTGAAGCAGGCTCCAAGCTCTGAGCTGTCAGCACAGAGCCCAACGTGGGGCTCGAACCCACAAACTGTGAGATCATGACCTGAGCAGAAGTCTTGGACACTTAAACGACTGAGCCACCCAGGCACCCCTCCAGGTTTTCATTTCTGTAATCTTGGACTTTGAAAGAAATTAATTCTGTGTGAAGAGTCCAATTTCTGCTTGAGGGAATGTTATTTCTCCACCAACTGGTGGTTTGGGACTGAGTTTTATGAACTAAATAGGGATATAAACAACTAGATGTATACATCTAAAATCGTTCCCAACACACATTCAGAATTAGTATCAACGAGCATTTGTTGTGTACCTAGTATGTGCTGGGTACTGCCAGATACTAAGTGTACAGAGGTTCTCAACCCTGGCTGAATATCAGAATTACCTTGAGAGCTTTAAAAATACAGATTCCCAGGCCGAATGACTTAGTCCCACAAAAGGCTTTCACAGGCACACGGGCTGTCACAACTTGCTCGCTTTTTCTCATCCAGTGAAACTTCTTCCCCCCCAGTACCTCCCTTTGTAACATCCAAACTCCCTAAGCCACACCCCTCTGTGGCCCCCACGTACCCTTACCTCCACAGCCTCTGCTCGTGAGCCTCCTCTGTAGTCATCGTGTCCCACCGCTGGTTCTCCTAGTGCGGTCCCTGGACCACCAGCATCAGCATCCCCCAGGGACTTGTTGGAAATGCACATTCTCAGATGCACTGAATTAACAACCTCAGGGCTGGGGCCCAGCCATCTGGGATTGAACAAGCCCAGTTAAGAAATTGTCCGCAAAGGTTCCAGCCGGGCTTCCATATAGGAGGTCTCCTGAAGGCAGGAACCTTGGCACCTAGCCAAAGATTATGACCATACCTCTGCGATTTGTCAGAAGTCTCCGCAAGGAGGCACATGTTAGGTTCCGTGTTTCTATCATGGACGCAACTGCCAGATTAATGTTAAGTGGTTGGGAATCTGAGTGTCAAGGAGGCCCCAGACGGCCAGATGGAAAAGACCTGTGATCTTGGTGGACGGGCCCAGCCCCTCAGCAGTACTGCCTTGCTCTGACATGGGAAAGGTCACTGCCTTCCTGCTGGTGGAGCAGTTCAAGAAACACCTGCTCAGCAACCTCTGTACAATAGCCCCCTCCTGTGAGTCTTCTCTCCACCAGATTTGACCCTCGGAAGGCACCACTTCTGCTTAACTCATCTTTGAACCTGCAGTAAACAGCACTGTACATGGCACAGCATAGGGACTCTACCGTCTCTTGTTAAAGAGCTGACATGTAGGTTTAATTATAAAACCACTCCCAGAGTGTCCTGACAGTTAGGCTATCTCCTGTGATGCTCACTGATCACCTTAGTACCATCAGTCCGAAGAAAGTGACATTCTTCTTGCCATCCCTTGGAGGGGAGGAGAGAGAAAGAGGCCACCTTATGCGTTTATGGGCCAGGTAGTTGAGGGAAGGGCGAGAACAAGGAGGTTTCAGAATAGAAGCACAGAAAGGAATTCAGAAGTAAAACTGTATACTGTCTCCCCAGAAGAAGGGCAGACTTGCTACCAGAACTTCAGCATCCGGACTGTTTAACAAGTTCCGTGCTCCATGATGAGCCTCATCTTAGCTGCGGTGCCTGCGGATGTCACTGGGCCTTGGGAAAACATTTAGCCTCACGCGGTGCTGTAAACTCTGCTTCCCTTTCCCGAACCCTCTCGCTGGATTTGTCCATCTGTTCAGGAAACAGAAGCACACTCAAGAGGGTTGAACTTTTGGTGAGGGCAGGGTTAGCCCACAGAACCCACAGAGATGGCCAGGCATTCAGGGACTGGCAACCAGTGGGAGCTGTTATCCCCGCTGGGCCTGAAGGACGGGAGATGGTGTCATTGGAGCCAGTGGCCAGAAGAGGCCACCCAGTGGGGGCTGTGACCATAGCGAGGGAATCAGCAATCTAAATCTGCCCTACTGCCTGTTTTTATATGGCCCACAAACGAAGAGTGGTTTCTATTGTTTTTAAATGGTTTTGTAAGTTCCTATATAATACCTTAGAGTTGGCCTCAAGCTACAAAGCTTAAAATATTTACTCTATGGCCCTTTTCAGAAAATGTTGACACATCCCTGTCCTATAAGAATACAGCCACCAAAGAAGGCAGGGGGTCAGGGAGGGAACAGAAGGAATAAATCCCCCACCTTCTCCCTCATCTTGCCCTCATCTCCTCCTGGTGTTACCTATCGACCAAACCAAAGGGCAACCAGGTGGTGTTTTCTGTAGAGGTCAGGCCTCTAGGGCATAGAGCTAGGAAGACAGAGAAAGGCAGAGAGTGGATGGGGGGCGGGCAACTCATGCAGAATGACCAGTCCACTCTCTCCCTGACTATAAATAGGGAGAACACTCCCACCTAGTGTAAAACTTTCAAGAGACACCGGGAAGACGTTCCCCAGTGAAAGTAGTCCGAATCATACACATCTTTAACTGTATTGCATCTGACTCACTTTGTCTTGCATGTCATGAAATCGATATGAGAAGCAGAGAGGCAGGTGAGCGCATGTGCTAAGCGACCCCAGTGGGAACTCATCAAGGGAAGAAGTCCACATCGAGCCTCTTTACCCCATTCCCCAGCCTGATTTAGGGCACTGGCCGCAGCAACTGCACTTCACCCCTTCCTCATTCCAGGCTCATGACCAGGAAATTTTCCGATATTTGGCCTTAATTTTCCTTTGCTCAGTTTTCACCCCCTGGATTTACAGTACCCCATGCTTCTCATTAAATTGGGACTGACCATTTCAGACAAGTGAAGTAATGCCCAGATATATGGCCTCCAGATAGATTAAAACCAGGACTGTTTTCAGGTTTGCTGGAAGGCTTGCAGCCTTTAG